TTCCAGCCCCGCCTGGCCGCGGTGCTGTGCAGCCTGCTGTGGGTGACCCTGCTTGGGCAGGGGGTTGGGCTGGGTGACCCCCAGAGGTCCCTGACAACCCTGAATATTCTGTGACTCTGTGAAACAGGAGCTGTGAATTTCTTTACGTCAGCCTCCTCCCTCTGAACAGGGCCAGGGCTTGGCTGCAGTGAAAAGCTGGGTTTTGTGCCGCTGAGCGCAGCGATCTGCTCCCCAAACGCTGGTGGGGGCCGTGCCGGGCTCCTCGGGGCACAGGACCAGCAAGTGGAAACAGCACTCGCGGCTGTTTTTCCGGGCGCGCCGTGATTTATCCCCGTGGTCCGACTCACTTGTACAACTCCATTACTGGCTTTGCAGCGTCTTTGTATTTCCTGAGCCTGGCAGCGACGGCCTCGGGCTTGTCGTCCTCGCGCTGGACCAGCGGCTCGCCCGTCAGGTCATCGACGCCCTGCGGGAAGGCGAACGCCGTCAAGCGGATGCAGCTCCCGGCCCCACCACCCGCTGCCAACTGCCTCGGGCTGCTCCGCATCGATCGAGCGTCCTCAGATGGAATTTAATAAATAAATCCCATTTTCCTAATTAACATTCAGCACAACTCCTTCGGGCTGGCTCCCGAGGGAAAGCCCTCCGGCGCTTCGTGCCTACTGCCTGGGATTCCTTCCCCAGCGCTTTTTTACGATCTCGGCTCACGCGGAGAAAGGCTTCTCTGATCTTTGTGACCCGCTCCCAGCCGGCACGAACGCGACGCTCCGGGCTCTGACCTGGACTTGGGGAGGGTTGAAGTCCATGTTGTACACCCTGCCGCTGGCCGGGTGGACCCAGCGGGCGCTCAGGCGATCCTTCAGCGTCTCGAAGGGTATGTTCAAGCTGATCACCAGGTCCAGCTCGCAGATCCTGTCCAGCGCCTCGGCTTGTCCCAGCGTTCGAGGGAAACCTGTGCAGGCACCGCAATGAAAAGAGGCTGTCGTGAGAGGCAGGAAAGCAGCATGCCCTGGTCACCAAGAAGGCCAATGGGATCCTGGGGTGCATCAAGAGGAGTGTGGGCAGCAGGGCAAGGGAGGTTCTCCTCCCCCTCTGCTCTGCCCTGGTGAGGCCCCATCTGCAGTGCTGTGTCCAGTGCTGGGCTCCCCAGTTCAAGAAAGATGAGGAGCTACTGGAGAGAGTCCAGCGGAGGGCTA